CATCATCATCATCACCATCATCATCATCATCACCATCTCTTTCTCTTTCTCTCTCTCTCTCTCTTTGTATATATATATATATGTATGTATGTATGTATGTATGTATGTATGTATGTATGTATATACACACATGCACAGATGGCCCTAAAAGGGACTTTCTTAGAGAACCACCTTCATCGCGGGACCTTCAAGGTCCTGTGAGGGTCCGTGCTTCTGGGCCTTCTTTCAGGAACCTAGCGGTTTAGGGTACAGGGATTTAAAGGGTTAATTAAGGGGTTTAGGGGTTAATGAAAGGGTTCACGGGTTAATTAAGGAGTTTAGGGGTTAATTAAAGGGTTTAGGGGGTATAGGGCCTCACCACAACAATGGCTCCACTCCATGTGCCCCTTGAGTCGTCCGAGCGGCAACGAAGCACGAGCTGGCCTGAGCCGGCTGCAGCAGAATCTAGCAACTGTACCACACATGTCGGAGCGACTGTGTGATGTGTTGTGTTAACTCCAGCACGTTTTGGTATGCGACCAAATCCAACATAATCCGTATCGCGGCGTAGCTTCTGTTCAGCGCTTGCAACTGATAGTAACATGGTGGTGCAATTCTGAAAAATTTCCTCCATTCTGCTACCTCCATATTTAAGCCGCTACCTCCATTCCTGTACTCTGAATCTTTCCAGCAATGGACGTCGTAAGTGTATAATATACATCTCTCTAGATATGTATATATACGTATAAGTGTGTATACATACATAGTATATATATATATATGTAGTATAGCATACATACATATATGTACATGTGTATATACACATGTATATATGTATATACACATGTATAAATATATAAACAAATAAATAAATAAATATATATATATATGTCTGGAGCTTTGGCCTTCCAAGCCTCAAACATCCCTCAACCCACGGGCCCACCCCCGCCCCCTCTGCAGGGAGAGCGGCTTAGCTGGGGCAGCCGCACTCGCACGACACCCGGCTTGCTATTCCAGATCACTCTGGGTGTGCTCGTTGTCCTCAGAAACAACAGGCCGTCGTCATCGGATGCATTCGGATGCCATGCGAGGAAGATGGGGCTCGAAACGTTAGTTTTGGACGTTTATGTGGTGGGGTACTGTTTGCTGCTGGCTTAGCAGACGAGCGAAGATCCCTGATCCACCCCGACATTTGCAGAAGATGAATGATGGTTGCCCCGGCCTTCTGAGGTGGTTGTGCTTGCCAGGCATCGCTCCTGTTTACGGGGAGACACAAGACCTTGGCTCAGGATGCCTCAAGCTGATGTTTTGGGAGCTTGGTAGCTGAATGAGCACACGCTGCGCTTCTTTTGGGATAGAACGGAAAGTGCGCACTGTCGGGGCTTATAAACCCAGCAACTAAGGGAGTGTGGCCTTGCAGATTCGATCGGAGAGCGAGCCTTCAGTGGCATGCAGGCTCTGTGGAGGCCCGCGGTTAGCATTCTTGGTCCGGGCCCAAATGGAATTGCTAAGCACACACCTTCATCCTCCCGCTCCTGCAACTGCTCACCTAGGCCATCGATGCCAACAACAGTGGCGCAGTGAGCACGTGCCCACCCCAGAGTGTGAGCATCGACGGAAACAACAGCACGCGAGCTTGATTAATAGCACGCATGCTAAGCCCTAAGACGTCCATTGACCAGAAACCTTACTATTGAATACGCGGTTATGGTCTTTGCATCAGGTATGAGTTCGATAGCGCCTTGCGCTTGCGCCTGGGGCTGGATTACGAGGCAGGGCGCACCGTAAGGCCTTCGGGCTTCCGGGTAGCAATGCAGGTTCTTTGATTTTTGCTATCGGAAGAATCGATGAGCGCTGAGTTGATTGCGTTTTTGACAAGAGATCCGCTTGCAAGCTTTTGCAGGCTTTGTGAAGCACGTCCGTAAGTTGCAGCTGGCATTCCTGAAAACCAGGCGTTTATCGATGTAAGTCAAAACGAGACATGGCTCTCAATGCGATATACGATACAGATATTGAGAATGACGTTGTTATGCAGCTTGTTCCTTGATCCACATCTTCGGCGACATCCAGGCACCAGAGCCTGCGAGAAGTCCTGTTAAATTAGATGCAGATTTTCCGGCTGATTGTTGCTGACTTGTCTAAAGACTGTATCTTGGCTGCAACATCGGCGGCAGAGCTCCGAATGTGAATCGGCACATAGGAAGAAGGTCATCGGGAAAGTCCGGCAAGGCGGTGGGTAGTCTGGGATTCTCAGGGTTTAGGGTTTAGGGTTTCGTGCAAGGTGGAGATTCACATTTCGAGTTTCTGAGGCTCGGCCAGCACGGTCTCACTGATCTTGCCAGGTACATTCAAAGCACATGCATACTTGACAGTTTCCTTCACTGCTAAGCACACCAGTGAGAAAGATAGAGTCATATGTGTGTGTGTGTATGTATGTGTATATATATATATAGATATATACCGGTGAATTGAATCGGCGCCGAGCTTGTTGACAGTCATTGCGGCCAACCTTTCCGGTTTATCCATGCCAGTCCCATCACCTTCGCTGTCACTCTTGCCCGGAAACTGCTGCATGGAGCTGCGAACGTTCGCAGCCTGCTTAAAAGCTCGTCATAGACACGATCGCGATTCGTGTTCAGGCCATCACCGGCCTCAAGCTCAGGAGCCTCTTCAAGGACCACTGCTTTTTTTCTTTTTGGGGAGCCTCAAAGCGTGTGTGATTGATGCAGTCATTCAAAAACCAAGCGCCCGCCCTTCTTGGCTATGCACAGGAGTTCGACACTCGACACTGCGGGCTGGTCTATGGCGTCGATATGGTCAGTGCGTGTCTGAGTTGTGCCCGCATTGACTCATCGACCAGGTTTCCCATTTCAGGATGGGCATGGGCGGTGTTGGAGGAGGGGCACGGAGCCAACAAGCTGGATGCACAATCTGGTAAGCTGGGTAGCTTGACAAACATGCCATGCCCTTCAAGCCCGCATGCCTCAGAGATTTCTCCAAGGCGCCTTTGCGCATGTCTGCAGCTCAGAGTTCTCTGGCCTGAGGGGATTGAGGGTTAGAGTTTGGGTTGTACGGATCAAAGTTTGTGGGGCTCTTCTCTCTTGCGTAGAATATACGTTTTCAGTAGACCCCTGACGGATTAGCGTTCCGAGTATTCAGGCCATTAAAGCAAGGCAAATGTGTGTTATTCATGCCGTGGTATAGAATACCAAGCAATCCCCTACACACAACCCGAAACCCTGAACCCCTGAAGCCCCCAACCCTCTACCCGTTCCATGGGAAAAAGCTATAGGCTATAAGCTCTAAACTTGAAGAGTGCCAGTTCAAGCTTCGGAGGTCTGGCGACGGTACGGCATTCCCGAAGAGGCTCGAGCGTAAACCACGAAGCGGCAGCTTGTGGTACCTAATGTAGGGCTTGAAACAGTTGGTAAGATTATTCCCGTGTAGTCCTTAATGTAGCTATAGCAGTAGCATGTTATAGCAAACATAGATCCCAAAACCCTATTCTAAGACCCTGCATCTACCCTATAAGCAGCAGCAGCCGTTGTCGTTGTAGTACATGGTGCTAGTCCGCTTGTCCCATGCTTCTAGACCCTAACAAACTTGCCGTGAACGCCCGCATGCAGTGGCTGCGGTCCAAGCTCGAGTCACTTCTCCCTGTCTCGGTGTGTTGACATTTGTGTTGTTGCGGCAGCTGTTGTTGTTGTTGTTGCTGTTTCTGCTGCTGCTTCTGTTGCTGGTGTTGTTGCTGTTGCTGGTGTTGTTGCTGTTGCTGGTGCCGTTGCCGTTGCCGTTGCGGTTGCTGCTGCTGCTGCTGCTGCTGCTGCTGTTGCTGTTGCTGTTCTTCTTCTTCTTCCTGTTGCTGGTGGTGGTGGACTTGTTAGTTTTCTTCTTCTGGTTGTGGTTTTTGGTAATGAGCCATTATACACACACACACAGGAACCATTGTTACAACGTTCCTGGACAAAACCATTGCAAGCAGGTCGCAAGGGATCCGCTACTGAACCCTGTCCGGCACTGAGATGTCCGCAAGCCCTCCACATGGTTGCGGGGAATGCTATCTGAAGTAGACGGTGTGTCGGTCGGTCGGTGTGTGTGTGTGTGTGTGGGTGGGTGTGTGGGGGGGGGGGGGGGGGGGGCGAATCCGTCGCCAATCCTTTCTCGGGCTCCCTTTCCCTGTGGTACAAAGAAAAAGCATGTAGATGGAGCGCAGCCGTATTCGGTGATCTTGGTCTGAGGATATGGAAGGACCTGCACATGACGAGGTTCTGCGCGAGCAGCAGAGGCTATTTCTTTGACTACCGAACAATTTTGGAAGTTGCAAGTCTGGAACGCAATCTTGGCTGCCATCGGATCACCGCATTTCTAAAGTGGACAAGATTGCAAGCTGCACAAAAAGCAAAACAACAAACCCCATGCCCTAAGCATCCTGCGCAGATGGCTGCGTGAGACCCGCCGACCGGCCTCTCCACGCAGCGCGCGATCGAGGTATGGGTTTAGGGGGACCGGGGTCTGCTGTTATTGGCACCCCACAAAATCTTGAAGGCTTTTGTAGCGGCTGTTATGTCGGATTTCTACACGGATCCAATTATACTTAATTCTAGAGTTGATACTAGGTTCCGTGCAGGGTTTTCATTCGTAGTAAGGTGAGCAGAGGCGTGTTCTGAAGTCGGGGTCCTCCCGGATCCTACTGTACGATGTCTGCACACTAAGTATTCAGCAACAACTACGGAGTCTGCAGTACCTTGAGAGGTGGCGCAGGCGCAATCAGACTTATAAGTCCGTGCTCCCGAAGTCCCTACTACAGAGTCACCTCCGAAGCAAGACAAGCCGCAAGTCCTAAATCCAAACTACAGGCATCCATAGAGTAGAGGGTACATGCGGCTTATAGGGCTTATGGGGGGGTTTGCTCCCTGAATCTCCGTCCTGAGAGCCCACATGGCCCCTTTTTTCCACAACGACGCCTCCCAGAGCCGAGAAAACCCACGGCTTCTCGTTAAAAGCTTCTTTCAGGGCTCCATTCAAGGATTCTGTAAGAGGCCTTTTTGGGGGTTTTGAGACCAGGGCTGTAGAGGTTTAGGGCTTTGGAAGTTTTGGGGTTTGGTTTGAGGGTTTCGTGTGTAAAGGCTTGATTTCGGGGTCTTGTTGTGTGGAAATCACTTGTTGACCTGCAGGACGTACAAATAGGTTTGGGCAGGCTTAGCCGTCATTGGCTGATTGGACCATGTATCTGCCTTAGCTGGGAGTTTGCCTATGGGCCTAGCAGCTCAGGGCTTTAAACACTACAAACCTTATACGGCCGAAAACAGAACACTGCATAGTAGGATCCTTACCAATGTTACAAGAACCTCAACAAGTGACCCAGTACAACTTGAACCTAAAACCTAAACCCCAAACCCAACCCCAGTATGTCGTTGTACCAAGTCTTCCTCGCTTGTGGGCATTGATCCTTAGCCATGCGAGAGGGGAAAAAAAAACAATCCCGGAGTCCGTAATTCCGGCGGAGGCAGAGATCTTCCTCACCGCAGGCTGAACCCACGGAGCTTCGCACCCCGAGGACTTATAGGGTTACGGACTTAAGGTTCAGGGTTTACGGTTTCGGACTTGGGGTTAAGGTTTCGGGTTTAAGGTTTTGGGTGCGAGGTTTGGGGTTTAGGATTTAGGGGCTCTTTCAGGAGTGTGACGGTTTGGGCTCCTTAAGACCAGGCTTCTTCCACAGGTCTGAAGGTCTGAAAGCGAACGTCTCTGGGTTTCTGCGCAGAGTGCTGGCTTTGGCATGTCGAAGCCGACGCGATCTGGCAGTGCCTTATGCTTGTGCCATCACTGTGTTGGTTCACAACAGACAGGACTCCTTCATTCATAAGCCTCCATTGCAATGCTGCTTGGGAGGCCGTTCTGTCTCGGAAGACCTTTCCACCTGAGCATTCGTGATCATGATTGAATGTTAATGTTGTATGCAGGGGAGCCTAGAGGAAGAAGCCACGATGTTATATGAGTTCTCTTTCATATTGTCCCTCACTATGCAGACCTGTTGTGGAACCATTTTCTGAAACAGAAGGGTCTCCAGAGTGGAACGGCAATGGAGGGCTATGATTCATGACGGGGCCAAAGCCTGAACTAAAACCTAAACGGGAGAGTGGTATGCCTCGCAGGAGTGATATCCTGAATCAGAAAGCAAGCGTCTCGCCAAGAATCCGCGACGAGTGGCCGCTTGCTTGGAAGAAGCTGCAAATCCCTAACACTAACACCCTCGCGCCCGACGTTCGCTCGCCGGAGATGATGCTGCAGAAAGCCCTAAGACAGAGCTCTGAACAAGTAACCATGATATTCCCTGCGGGTCCATTTATGCTTGTACTGTAGTTCCCGAAAAAACCTATTCTAGTTGTTCAGGCGCCTTTCTTTTGGTATGATACATATTGTTCTTCTTATTGGCAGCTTCATCCGGCCAGACCCCTCTGAAACCACACAAACACACACGCTGCAAAACAACAAGGAAGAGTAATGGGAAGGAGACAAGATGATGCCACGTTAGACAAACGGGTTATCAACTCTTCCGTGGACTGCTTCGAAGCGTGGACAGATCGGTGATACGGCAACATCCGTCGGAACAACAGGCTTCCACGTACTACAGAGAAACAACCACTCGTGTGACGTTTAGTGCGACCAGGGCCGCCACGACCTTTGAAGCGGTGGTTGCAGAGAAGCAGTTGCCATATTCGCGGCAGTAACAGAAGCAATAGCAGTAGCCACAGCAGCAGCAAGAGGAGCAAGAGGAGCAAGAGGAGCAGGAGGAGGAGGAGGATTCAGGAGGAGCAGGAGGAGGACCAGCAGTCAGTAGCAGTAGCAGGAGAACAGGAAAAGGAGAAGCACCGTAGCTGTAGCCGTCGGCGTAACCTTCGCAGCAGCATGCAGCAAGAACGTCCTGTGGCTGCAGAAAACAGCATACAAAAAAATTGACCGCTTCAATCAACTCGCGAAACCTGCAGCCATGTCTGACTACAGACAGCTTAGGAACCGGAAGTCGCCTGCATGAGTAGCACGGTAGGAGCAGCATCGTGCACAAAAACCCATGCAAAAGTCGGGGCACACCGACCCGAGGCTCTAAAGCCCTTAGCCCTTTACATCCTAAGCTACTTGGAGTACTTCTGTTCTTACGGCTCGACTGGGTTGGAAGAAGCTTCAAATATGGGCAGGAGAGAACCGTGCCTTCTAGGATCATTCCAGAATCCACACCAAATTCCTTATTTTAGTAACAAGGCCCTACATTCGAGTTGGACCTGCCGAGGGATCGTGGATATCGAACAGTGGGCATTCCGGCGCTTGGTGCTTAGTCGCAGCACCACCTCTGGTTCTGAGTCTTGTGCTTGGGAGTGTATACTTCCGCAGTCCCCATTCTAGCCCCCCATGTGCAAGCTCTAGGGTAGTTCGAACTATGTTTGGGACGACCGCTTCAGACCCCGGACATTAAGCCCGTTAGTGTGGGCTGCCATGTGGAGGCCCTGTGCGAGTGCGAGAGTTGAGGCCCTGAGCCGAATTTTTCCGGTGACTGCCCAAGCCATACTAAAGCCCAACACAGACCCAAAAGCCTAAAACCTGCCGCTACTTTGACTGCCACCTTGCCTGCACCTGTCGTTGCATAGTACAGGTAGGAGGCTTCACCTGGTTTCACGTTTTAAAACTTTGAAAAGACCTATTCACACCTTTAAACAACCGGCGTAGCCCCTTATAGTACCCCGATAAAGGCCTTGTAGAGCCTTCTAAGACCCTTTAGCCCTAATTATGGCTTCCCTAAACCTGAAACCCTAGACCCCAAACCCCAAAACCTAAGAAGCGAGTTCCAGAGGCCGGTCCCTACTAGGCGAGGGAAGAAGGCGCTTAAAACGAACCACCGAAGCCTTGGAAGAACCTTGTCCGAAGGTCCCCGCGCAGTCCACGGAACTTGGCGTTGCCCGGCGTCACCTCGAGGCCTCCCCTTTCAGAACTCTATGGCATGGGGCCACAGAGGGCTTTCTGATTTTATAGGGCTTTGTGGTGTTGTCCGGTGCTCAAAGGTTTTGGATGGGCTTATGCCATTTGGACAAGGTTTCATAGGAGCCTCCTGTCTGAGGGAGTAGGTTCTCCGGGTTTGACAGGCTCTGAGAAATCAAGGCCCCTGTCTCTGTGGGGGTGCTGAGGGGACCGTAAGTGAGAGAACACAACACGTCTAAGTGTGCATGTATTTAATAGAGTTCCTGTATTTACTTTCTGTCTGTTCGGACAGAGGCTTTATGCTTTAGGATGATCAAGGCTAGATTTATTTCGGGTTCGGCTTGGAGCCTGCCAAGAGCAGCTCACTCATGTGAATAGGACCCAGTAGGGCTGGGGAGGGTATATACTAGTTACTAGTGGAAATGATTATCTATTCGACCCATCTCTGCCCGGCATTGCCACACATTGAACGGCCGCTCTGGTTCAAAGGCCCACCAGAGGCTTCTGAAGGCCCCTTGAAGGAACTCGTGGGGTACACAGTTGAAGAGCGATTTTGCTGACGATGCCTAGCGGTACTCTACTGTATGGCTACGAATGCACAGACAGTTTCGAGTTTTGCAGATGTAGGCACGCATCAGGTATCTATGCCAGCATGCAAGACCACAGTTGGAAAGCAGGCGTGTAGCCATGGACTTCGAAATTGATATCAAGAAGGTCAGCTGGGTCCCGACCCATGTGGAGGAGATTGCCGAAGTCGCAAGCAAGGCCTTTGAGTGCCCCATGACCTTTGAGGAGTTGCAGGAGACAGCATATGGTGTTATCGGCACGGATCATATCGAGAAGGTCCAGATCAACGAGGACTCCGACATCCCGAAGTTCGTCGCGATTAAGACAAAGACTCGCTTTGAGGAGAAAGTCATCAAGTTCCGCTTGCCAGAGAGAGCTGTGACACCAACCTTCCAACCCAAGAAGACCAAGGCCCTGGTCAAGGGAAGCCTTTGCGCAAAGTTCTTTGGCGAGTGTGAAGTTAGCACTCGGTCTGTCGAGTTCACCATCAAACTCTACGATGCTGGGCCCAATTCTGTGCAACCCGTAAAACCCTGAGCCTCAAAGCAACTTTCTCTTGACAAGAATGGAAGGGTGCACGAAAATCACCCACATGCACTAACCCCCACTAAAAGGGGAATCTTGTCTAGCAGTAGCCCCACTCAGCCGATTCAAGACCACACGCCTCCCGAAGCCCTCTTTCTCAGAGCCTTCCGAAGAGCTGTACGGTTGTCTCAGTAGGCAAGTCTGAATGAGTCCTAGGATTGTGGCCACTTCTACATGAAGCAGACGCTCCCAGGGTCTGGTGCATCCCCTTATTGGGTTATCTTCGAGGGCCGCTGGGAGAGAACGGAAAGGGGGTTGGCCTTCGAGTACCTGTTTCCTGGTCTTTTTCTGTTCATACTTTTTTTGTTGTTGCTTGTTCCTTGGAGCTAAGCCTCGTTTTCCAAATTTGCTTGGGCTTCCTGGCGAGCTCAGGTTTAGATATGCCTGGCAAATAGCCAAGACCCGGCTGATGCCCGAGTTTGTCTTAGAGGCGGTTCCAAAAAACCATCGAAGCAGATTAGCCTGGTGTGGCGAGATGCCTGAACAGCAGCTCAACGGCAACGTGCCTGCAATCGTGGGCGAAGATGCCTTCTGCTGGATTGAGATCTGCCGGGAGCCGGACAAGGTGGAACGAGGAAAGGCACGCTTCAACGAGGAAGAGGATGACATTATCCCACAGAAAGATGAGAAAGAGGAGCTACGCCGGCGGCCTGCCCGAAGTGCCGCACCTGCAACTCCGAGTGCTTCAGAGAAGCCCGCAGCTGAGAGCCCGGCTGCTACGGCTACCACAGAAGACAGCAAGGATGATGAGCCAATGTGGCCGCTCTACGCTGGTCTCGGAGTCCTCCTTGTGCTTCTGATCTTCTTCTTCCAGCTAACGTGGGACAGCAAGACCCAGGTCCTCTAAGCCCAAGTCCTGCAACAAAATTCGGGAGACTTGCACCAAGCAAACGGAGCTGTGAAAACCCGGTGGCGAACGCTGAGGTGCTCGTTGTTCCTCCAGTTGTGGTAGGAATCTGGGGAGCCGAGTTATGTCACAAAGTATTTTGGCAGCTGCTGATGCTGCTCATGTCCTTGTTGTTGCTGTGGTCGTCGTCGCCCGTCGCCCGTCGTCGTCGTCGTCGTGGTGGTTCGTATTGTCGTCGGTGTCGTTGTTGTTGGTGTCGTCTTTGTTGTAGTTGCTGGAGCATGAGTTAGAAGCAACCGTGTTGGCTTGAAGCTGTTTTGTTCCTGATGGGGTTGCGCATGTGATTCAGATTATTCGAATGCTCCCCGCTGCTGTTAGTCTGAGTGGGCATTCTACCTGTTTCCGGTTTTGGTACTACGGCTGTCACAAGCACGATTCTTATATGGGCGTTGTCTATGCTATTGTGGTCAGGGTGTCGTCACGTTTCTTGTGCATGATCGTGAAGATATTTTACGATCCAAGCCGTCAAAAACCGTAAGCTCGAATATACAGTCCCGCAAGCCAAATCCCGGAAGCTTCAATCAGCTTGAAACCCCAAAATCCCGAATCATTGATCTCTAAACCCTGAGACCCCTTAGATACTATAGATCCTTCAGCACAGCACCCCACAAACTAAAGCCCTGACCCCCCCGCCCGATCCTAGAATGATGAGTTGCTAATAATTGCTAAATCCCGAAACCCTAACTCCTAAAACCCGCAAAAACCCGAAACCCCAAGCACCCTGGAGCCCAAAAGCCCCACATCCCAAAGTCCTTTCTGCGACCAGGTCACGCCCCGAGGTGGTTCCTCCGCTACAGCTTCCTCGAGGTGCTGCCTCGAGGTGCGCCTTGAAATTCTGCGAGTTTCCGGGTTCCTGTCAGAATTTCAGCGATCTGCAACATGTACTCTACATGGATGTAGGGTTAGGAGGTTTTGGGGTTTAGGAGTCTACCAAAATGTAGAAAGGAGTCTACCCAGCATTGGGGATTGAGGTTTAGGAGCCTGGGGCTTCGGCTTGTTTCACGATTTGGGAAGTTCTGCGGCAGCTGACTGCCCCGGATATATTTGCTTAGCACTTTGTGGCTTCAAGGGTTATGCCTTGGTTCTGGTTGAGGCTCTAAGGCGGTGCGGAGGGTTTTAGATGGTTCAAGATTTGGGTTGAGGAGTTTAGGGTGTTGTATGTACATGGGATTCCGGTTCATCCTCTATTGGGAGCCCCCAAAAAAAAACGGGACTCGACTTTGGTGAGCTCCTGGCTGGCAGCATCTGCGGAATCATAGTCGATTCGAGAATCTGGTCCAAGAATGCGCAAGATCTAATCGAAGTGTGTTGGGGTTTCGACCTTATGGCTGCATCTCCTCCCGCTTTCAAGCGGCATTCAAAATCATTTGCGATGCAGCGACTGCAATTAAAAGAAGCTACAGCTGGTCGACATGACGTGTTTCGATGCAGCATGCCCGATTTCGTGGGCTGCCGCCAGTCCCACTGGGGCTTGCCCACGCAAACCTCCTCACATCTTGAACCTGCGTCCCCTTCATTTTACTTGCATACCGCGGGCTGAGATGTTGTTGGCAATTGTTTTGGGTTCTTGGGTTACTTGTGGGTGCCTGTTTGGCACTGAGCATCTTTAGTTCAATCAAATCTTTGTCTTTAACTGGCGAGACACAACCGGAAGGAGCAATGCATCCGCAGAACATCATAGAAGAAGTCTGGATCATTAATCATGATGCCCGACACCCCTTTCTCGTCTCCAATAATATTGAAAACATTCAAGAACCCCCAATCCGATGGTTAACCAACCAAAGACCCCACGAACAATTCTTCCCCCACTGTTCAACCCTAAACCCTGATCCCTCTATGGCGCCTAAACCCTACAGCCCCAAACCCTACAGAAAGGCCTCCATGCCTAAACCCCAAACAAAAATAGAAATAAGGGGCTCTAGTACACCCAGCCCCAAAACCCTGAACCCTAAGCCCTGAACCCTACGACACCCGGCCCAGCCCGAAAGCGCGAAATCTCCAGGTCTCCAGTGCAGACCTCCAGGCGCTTCTGGCGGTGGCTTTTCCTCGAAGCCCAGAAGCCCCATGTAGCGGGGTTTCTGTCAATGTATAGGTGTATGGATGTATATATATATATATAGATATACATTCATAAATTGTGTGTATACATATATCATACATACCTACCTACCTACCTACCTACCTACATACATACATACATACATACATACAATGTATGTCTGTCTGTCTGTCTGTCTGTCTGTCTGTCTGTATGTATGTATGTATGTATGTATGTATGTATGTGTGTATGTATGTATTTACTCATTTGTTCATTTTTATTACATGTTGTGAGGTTAGATTCTTAGACTAGATTAAGGTTAGGTGGAATCGATAGACAAACTAGATAGGATTCGATTAGACGATGTTCGATTAGATATAGACGGGGATAGGATAGATGAGTAGCTTCTGACAACAGGGTGCCTTATTTAAGTGCCGGCTTCTGCCACTAGATCACAGTCGATCGAGGAATGTTGAGCGTTACCTGTGATCATGTGTTGGCCTAGGACAAGAGGCTTGAGGGTTCAAGATGACGACTGCTTGTATCCCCAGCAAAAGCTCAGCAAGATAGGCAGTTTATGCTTAGTACATCCCATGGGAGAGTCTTCTTGTAGGCGAGAAAGCGTGGGGAAGATATGCAGAAACGGCATTTTTTGCCATCGGACTCAAACAACTCGTGTCGCCATACTTACAGACTACCCATATCCGCAGAAGGTCTGCCAACACGGCAGGGGTGATGGCCGACAGCAACCGCATCGCATCGAAGCAGTGGAAGATCGGCCCGTGTGGGTCTCAGAGCTTCGCGGTCACAAGGAAACCGGGGATTTACGAAGGGTGGACATGGGGCTCTCTGTGTAAATCCAGATGATTGAACTGACAGTACGCCTTAGGACTTGGACTTGGTCGCACCATTAACACTGCAAGGTTCCGCCTGGCAGGCGGGCACCAAAGGAAGTCCGCCTGTTTCAGAGAACGGGAACGTCACAGCCCCAATGCCCAAACGAAGCCTGGCAGCTACTTCAACTTATGATCTCTGTCGGTGCAGAGCCGAAGCAAGCGAAGAACGAAGAAGAAGAAGTGTGTGACTTAGGATCTGGATGAATGTCTCGCACGGCAGCTTCAGAGCCGCTGTCGTCGGCTAAAGTAATGAGGTAGGCGAGTACACGACATTATTTTTTCAAGGTCAAGGAAAATCGACTAAGCGCTTTGTTTGGCCATCGTCTTTTCAGAGCTAGGAATTTCGGTGTTAGCATACAGGGCATTTAACACATGAGAGAGCTTCGGTTCAATTGAGGTTCCATCTTCGCCTTAGTCCGTCCGTCCGTCTCCTTACCCGGATCTGGAGACGTGGTCGTCGTGTATCCGGCATAGTGATGCCTTCCTGAGCTGACCTACAGTCTCCATCGTAGTTCCTTTTTCCTTGCTGCTGTACAGGATCTTTATTATGCAGTTGGGTTCATGAAGAGACTATAGGTACTCGTACAACCTAGAACGGAGCCCAGCACCACCTCAAACCCTCTGCCCCCGCAGCAAATCAGAAAGGTCGTCTTCCGAAGCCCTGGCGGGGTCGCGCGTGCGCAGCACCTCGTTGCATCCTCGGGCAACTCTGCAAAGCATAGCTGTGAGCTTGTAAAACCTTGCTGCAATCGCCGGTTCTTCGTTGCTTACTGTTTCGCTTCACAGCTACAGATGTAGGACAGGGTGGCCGCAACAGTTACCAACAAGAACAAGTTCTGGAGCAATTGGGCAAGCTTCCCGGCAACAGTCCTGTCTCAGAAGCCGGAGCTAAAGAAGCGACGGTTAGAGCTAAAAGGCTAAATGGTGTTTGTCATAGACTTCACTTCGGCGTTGCCGACGTCGATTGCTCAGGGTTTAGGGAGGAGTGCGAGTGCCACCGACGGAGAGGGGGAACTAGGCTTCGCGCAGGCATGGTCTCTAGGAACATCGCTCATCGACACAAGACCACCTGCAGTCTGATGGCTCGCTGGAGCAAGTTGGTTCTTTGGTCTCTAGGCCAGGCGAGGCAGAGCAGCAATCCGAAGCTTGGACCCAACCCTAGTCCCTCGGCAGAACGCCCAGTTGTAGCTATAAAGCATTACGTCGTACTGCGATACTGTCTCTGCCATACTATACCACGACATGCATGCCCACGCCACACGTTGTCATAGTAAAGGGTGAGAACAACAAGAATGTCAGGTCATCTGGCTACTCGGCGCAAGCGGAGGCCCAGACCAGGCCAGGCAGCGCATGAAAACTGCGGAGCAGTTTGAGGAGCTTGATTAAGAGACCCTGGTCCTAAAACCCCCAAAACACTAGGATCCATATAAGGAGGCTGAACGCAGACCCAAGATTTCTATATCAGAGTCCTATGCTTGATCTAGAGCTTTCGGGAGGCGCGCGTAGGGGGTTTAGGGCTTGGGGAATCAGGCCCAAACATCGTCAGGACCACACTGCATGTCCCATTTTGTGAGCCGGAGCAAAGCTTTGGTCTTAAGTCTTCCTAACCCGCCCGGCCAGCAAACAGACCTACAATCAATTGAATGGACAGCAACCCTAGCCAAACCCTAGACCCTCAACCCCAACCGTACCCTAAACCCTCCTGACCAAACCCTAAGCCCTAAACCTTAAACCCTAACCAATCCCTAAACCCTCAACCCCAACCGTACCCTAAACCCTAAACCCTTGCCCCCAACAACTCCCGAGCCGCAAGTCCCCTGCGTTAACTTGAGGCCTTCCCGACTTGGACCCTTACCCTGCATCTTAAGAAGCGTGTCCCAAAAAGGCTATGTAAAAAGCATCATGAAAAGGCCCACAAGCCCGAATCACACAAACCCGCTACCCTATCAACAGAAAACAGTCTTCGCGAGCTCGAAGAGTTTTCCAAAGACGCCGTCGTAATCCGTCCTTCACTTTGCAGTGTAGGTTTTATGGCTTGCAATTCAGGGTCGGGTGCGTTTTTAGGTTTGGGCTTGGGGTTAGGTACCAAATCTTGGCAGGATACCTTGCCTTAGCGATGCCTTCTGACAGTATCAGGTCTCCCAACCCCGCTGGCGCCATGAAAGACAGCCGCAGAAAGCCGGAAAACGATCGAAGCGGCACTGCCCCGTGTCGACCTCAAAGTTCTGGGGAGAGGCTTGGGCGATTTAAGGTGAATCTGTGTATATGTTTAGCAACACCTGGGCCGTCAGCACCGTCGAACCGTCGCGACAATGCTGCCGCCGTGTTTGCGACAGACATTCCTAGTCGGTCTTGTCGCATGACCATGAGCATTTCTGGCAGCAACGGCAAAGGTCCTATGCCAGAGATGTATCACCTGGTCCGGCTGTCGCTCCATCGGTGCAACCGCCGGGCGCTACAGTCGGTTTTTTGGGATTCGAGGCTGCTGCGAGGAGGATGTCCGGCAATGGATCCCGAATCAATCTCCAGAATATCGATCAATCCTGCCTCATCGCTGACTTGAGTCTGGGTCTTTTGTTTCCAGAATGTGACCCACGACTGCAACCATTCCGGTTCGAGTATTGAGACAAGCGGCCATTGCAGGAGAGCAATCGCAACAACAAAGAAATTCAACTACCCGTTATCATCATCATCCTCCTCATCATCATCATCATCATCACCATCGTCATCTTCATCCCCACTATCAGCAGCATCATGCTGTTGTTGCTGCAGCACTTCGAGACAATGCAGATGTTGTGATGATGATGACGATGATGGTGGTGGCGGTGGTCGTGGCCTTGGACAATGAGTTGATTCTGCAGAAGAGGATGGGAGAGAACATGAGAATCTTGTTTCTTGGGGGTTGCCCTGCTTTACATAAACCCAGAGGCGCAGAGCGCTGCAAAGCCCCGAACTCCGAAATCACAAACCGACCGGAATCCTTGCCTATGAAAAAACCCCAGCCTTCATAAGCAACGGTTTAGGGTTTAGGGTTTAGACGCTCAACCAAGAGAACCCAAAAGCCCCAAACCCACAAGAAAGGCCTCATTGCCTGATGCTCCCAGGCCGTCCACTGCTGGTTCCCTGCCTGAAGCTCCACGTTCCACTGCCGGCATGCGGGGGTCCCCAGCATAAGGTGGGAATCTGATTCGGGGGCGAGTTTAGGCTCCAGAGCTCTAGGTTCGTGATTTTGGGGGTGAAGGGTTCAATGCAAGAACCTGATTAAGAAATCCCGGATTTCTTCTTAACTAATGTCTGATTCGTTGCGGGATACAGAGCCTGGTTTCCCCCACCACTTCGTGCATGAGCGCCACAGCTCGCGACCTAGTCGCTTCAGGCTTTATGTGTGTGTTATTGGGGGTTCAGAGATGCCCGCCCGGGTTTGGGGCGCATTTTGCTATGATGATGATGCAGCTGGATGTTCAGTCCGCTCTCAAAAAGCATCCAGCCAGCAAAAATGCGAAGTTGCAGGCTTAGAAAATGCACAGGTCGGCACCTACCCGAGCTCCAAAAGCTGCAGATGTGCAGTCAAGGCTGGAACTATTCGTCCCACTCCGATTGCCGTTGTTCATGTATGCCGCCGTGCTTGCCAAGGTGTTCAGATAGAAAGATACAAATAGGCAGATAGATCTATCTGTACCGCTCGACGTGTCTCTGGAAACGTGCGCAATTAATGCCTGCACCAAGGGTAACAGGAACAGTGTTGAGGAGGACGACCAGGTGGATGAGGGTCAGAAATACTCTGGCACTTTATGGCTTTTGTTGTTTTCTGGCGTGCTACTCTGCCCGTGTACCCGGAAGTAGAATCAGGAGTCCTCTGCTCTGTCACAGCATTTGTTCCAGCGATGTTGATGTGATGGGATTTCGCCGTGCCACTGAAAAAATCCAGAACCCGGCGCACTCGGCCAAATCCCATGGCTAAGAAAAAACCCGCGAGACACCCGTGCTCAGATAAAGGCACTCCGAGATTGAGGCGAACCTGCTCGAGCAGAATCGAAGCCTTATGAGCCTGACTTCTTTATCTTTATTAACTTATTGTTCTGGTGATGAGTACTGCAGAATTATGTTGTGTGGTCAAGATCATTATTTTGTTATTATTAGTGTTACTTGTACATGAATCAAGCAAACCCTTCCCCGGTGCAAGCTTCTTTATTCCAGGATCTGGATGTCTAGGAACCGCAGGGGTTCGAGGTGCGTCAGCGAAAGACGAATGCCACGAGCAGATTATAACAAGGGCGGCTGGCGCTCATTCACATAGAAGTTTGAAGTTTTCAACTATGTTAAATACTGTTGCATAGGGTTCCTATTCTAAAGCCTATCCGAAGCCACTTCTCTACTTATTCAGGCCCCAATATCCATTCTGAATCTTTTTCTTCCTGCTGACCCACTCCTACGCAGGGCTCCAAGCAGGCCGCAGGGAGTCAGCCAGACGCAGCGAGCCTTGCAGGGGAGCCCATGTTGAGCTCCAAAACGTTCGACGCAGGCGTTTAGGGTTTATAGGGTTTATAGGGTTTATCGGGTTTAGGGTTTAGGGTTTATAGGGTTGTATACACATCTACAATCATCTACAGATAGGCGTATATCTGCATGTTGGGTAGCCCTTGCCGCCTCCTTCCAGGATATGCCTACCTCACGTCACCGAAGGAACAAGTCGATCCCTCGCATGCGGCCTGCATTGCAGAATCCTGAGACGGTTTTTGTAGCATCAACCCACTGTTCTCGACGCTAGATTGCACCAGATCTTGGTCACCCTGTACATGGTTGACAACAGATTCTAACCGCATACATAGACATACACGTATATGTATATATATATATAAATATAAATATAAGCATAAGCCTTATGAAAACAATATAAGCCCTATAAGACCTTTAAGCCTTAAACCCCCCTATAAGCATCCCAAAGTCCCAAAGCCCTAGCAGCCCGGAGCTTCACGAGGCCCGCGCAGCCGTGTCCGCGAGGAGCAGGGCTCCGGTCTCAGCCGGGGTAGCCAACCTCGGGCTAATGCAGGGGTTTATGGCTAGTAGCGATATTATCTAGCGGATAAAGTGTGTTCTAGTTGTTTGAAAAGAAAAACAAAATCGCTGGGTGAATGGTTTTTTGGTGATCAAGCGACCTCCACTTTTGGCCTACCGTCGATGCCTTGAGTGTTTGTTGTGGGCACCAGCACATAAGCCCCACAAATACAGGAACCACAGAGACCAGTCTATTCAGTGCTTTCGTCGTTTGCTCCACACACCTGGCCGACTGGGCGTCGGGCGTCCATGACATCAGGTCTCCCAGCCCACAACGTGCCTCGCGTGAGCCTCAGCTGTGTGGCTTCGCCTTTGTGATTGTCGCAATTGGAAAAATTTAACGAAATCCTGCACAAGGTCAATGTCATCTAAGGGGGGGCATCTCTACTGGATCCTTGCAGTTTCTCCAGTTCCAAGGGATGCAGGCGAGGGCACCGAATTCGGCGAGACTTCCGAACTGCCAAGTTGGGCGTCGTCTCGAGTCGACAGGAGTCTGTAAGGCTCTTTTGCCCAACACCAACATACCTTGAACTCTAAGTCTTAAGCCCCTGAAGTCCCCAAAAAACAACGAGATGCCCAAAAAGCCTCAGGCCCTGAATTCCTGACCACTCCTACGCCCTAGAAAGGTCACCCAGTCCGTCCGATCCTCTGACTCAATCTGCCAAAGCTCGGCCGGAGCCCAGCACAGCGTCGGGTTTCCCAGATTGGGTTTGAGAAGCTTCTGGGCTCAGGATTTATTTTTTGAGTTGACTTCTGGCAGGGAGGTATACATCTCGTTTCTGCACGTCATAAGTAATAGAATCTCAAGATCTGGGAGAACAAGGTCTCCGCGATTGCAGCCAGGTGGTTCTGGGTCGGGCGCTTGGTCGCCACGGGGCATTGCATCTCCTTATCGTATCAGTGAGGTGCTCTCTTCATCGGCTCTATCTGGTCTTAGCAGCGAGATCACGACAAGAATCATCCTGCAGCGTACACTGGTCACTACAGGCCTGCAGGCCTCCACGGTGGCATGCTGAAGCCTCAGTCGGGTTTGGGCGGATGCCAGCAAATATCCCGGAAGGATGAATCATAACAATTGCACGACCAACCCCAGCAAGAGGAATTATTGACACTCAGTGGTACCAGCCTGCACCAGGAAGGGACGATCAGCAGTGCCAGATCAAAAGATAGAGGGCATCGGCTTGGTGCAGTACTGCAAATCCCCGTAAACCCCTATAAACCCTAAACCCCTGTAAACCCTAAACTGGCAAGTGCAGGACAAAAAGCCATGGAGAGAAGGGTGAAGTCGCGTTGGGAACTGAGTTTGTTTCTTCTGCCTGCGCCTTCAGCTGATGCCGGGAATCCAAGACGCACCGTGCCAATCGTGCTTCCTTCCTTTGCTATCAGAACCCCGAAACCTTAAAGCCTTTGCGCGGCCCAAGCCCATGCCTAGCACAATAATTCGTTCCAAGCCTTGACTGTAGCATCTTCTCATGGTGCATTTATTCGTGACATTGTGCGTCTTTGCTCGCATCTGCGTCAGCGGCGCAGGTGATGTGTGCAGTTCACCGAATTCACCAGCTTGTGGGGAAAACAGCACCAGGAGCGGTGGCAACTTGTTCATACAGTTCCGGCAGGGCATCACCAGAGTGCGGGAGCCGGCAAGACCAGTGGTATGGGTCGCTCAGCCCTTCAGCAACTGCTTTCGCCCTTGCACGTCATCCCCAGATCTGAAGCCTTCGCAATTTCGGACACGGGGCTGCTTCACCATCGATGGCGAAGAAGTCTCTGAGGAGTTGTGCGCAGGGCTGCCAAGGCCTGCTCTCACAAGGCACTGCGGCTGCGGTGTGCTGGGCTGTGACGAGGATGTCTGCAAAGACTTGCACCCGGATCTAGAGGATACAACCGACAATGAGGACGACGAGCACTTTGAGTGCTTGGGCTGCTTCCCCGTAGCCGAAGAGGAATATCAGCCGCAGTTTCAGGAGAGCAAGGAGGTCTCGCTTTTGGACGAGACGTGCATCGACCACGACGCGCAAAGTGGCCCCTGCCGTGGTGGGATGCCCTTCTTCCGGCTGCGCAGCAATGCAATGACGCCTGTCATGTGCTTCGAGTTCTGTATGGGGGAGGGCCTGGACCTCTTTGCTCTGGTTCAAGGCGTGGAGTGTCGCTGCGGCGCAACGGCCCTGAACCTGGTGTGGCAGGGGAAGAAGCCTCGGCCGGGACTTCAGCTCCCACCGACAAGGCAAAGCAGCTGCTTGGAGGAAGGCGAGTGCCCAATGCGCGTGTATCGCTGGAAAGGCCCTTTCGTGTCGGGTGGCTCGGTGCCGAACCATCTGCTGAAAATCTCAGAGGGTGATCAGACCCACGTTATCTCCGTGGTGCTTGGCGAGCGCATCGGACATGAGGATGGTGCCAAGGCGGAGACGGGAGACTCTCTCACCCAGACGGCCACGGACTCGGAGCGCATCGAGCCGAACTGGCTCAGGAACTGTCCCGAGTGCAACGCTGGCAGACACTGGTGGGAGCGATCGAATGTGACGCCGGATGGCATGATCGATCAGTGGGTGGATGTCGTCGTCGTCAGGTACAACTGGGCTGACAACTGCGTGAATGATGAGATCCGAAAGGAGGCCTTCCGTGCTGCAGCAGAGGTCTGGCGCACTGAGACCTGCATTGCCTTGATCGAGGATCACACGCGTGTCCAGGGCCAGCAACACATCAGGGTGAACTCAAGGTCATCTGGTTGCTCGGCCACAGTTGGTCGCGCGAAGCCCAGCGAAGTGTACCTGGGATGGTGCAACAGCATGGGGCAAAGGGGCAACATCGTTCACGAGACTAGGCTCTTATTTAAAGAGTTTAGTTGACGTTACCATACTATAAGGAGCTATAGTAAACAACATCGGGTTTCCTTGTTGTGGCAGTTGAATCATTGAAATTAAGTTCCTTAACAAGAACCCAGGAGATTGGCCACACTCTCGGCATGCATCACACGCAGCAGCGAACGGATGGGAGTCAACAATATCATGGCTATGGTCCCCATTTGAAGGTCTACTGGGAGAACGTGGCCAGCAACTGGGCAGCGCAGTACGTCCCAAAAGGTGGCCCCTACACCGGCTCGGCTTACGACGGTCCGGATGATGTCTGGGTGGGCCATGCGCCCTACGACTTCGAGAGCATCATGCATTATCCTCGCCAAACTGGCCCGACTGGTCCTTACTACGACACCATTCCTGCGAGCAACAACAACCTGGTGGGGCAGAGAGGGCGTCTATCAGAAGGTGATATCTTGCAGATGACGGACATGTACAACTGCGTGCGTAAGTCGGCAACTACGACTACGACGACCACCACAACTGCGACGACTACCACGACTACTACTACCACAACGACGACAACCACGACTACCACCACTACCACGACTACTACTACCACAACAACTACTACTACGACGACAACCACGACTACCACCACTACCACGACCACGACTACTACTACCACAACAACTACTACAACGACGACAACCACAACTACTACCACTACCACGACTACTACTACCACAACAACTACCACAACGACGACCACCACGACTACCACCACTACAACTACCACAACCACGACTACTACCACTACGACCACTACCACTACCACAACAACTACCACTACCACGACTACCACAACGACCACAACGACTACCACAACCACGACTACCACGACCACAACTACAACGACCACAACAACTACCACAACCACGACTACAACGACCACCACGACAACCAAGACCACAACTACCACCACGACTACCACGACCACAACTACCACAACGACGACTACAACGACCACCACGACAACCGCAGCCACGACCACGACAGCGGGTAGCGGACCCGCAACATTAGAGACCGGGCGGATCACCATAAGCACGCTCGGATGGACAACCGTCATTTTCCAGAACCCTTTCACCGAGGTGCCCATTGTCGTGACAACCCCCACGGAGGACTTCCCGGGACCATCGACCGTTCGCCTAACGGACGTGACCAAGACTGGGTTCAAGGCTGTCGTTGCTGTGCCTTCTGGCACTACGGTCAGCAGTGGCACGATGGGTGTCTCCTTCCTGGCGGTGGCTCCTGGGCTTCGCCAACTGCCAGGTGCCAGCGGGCTGTGGTTGGAGGCAGGGACGATCTCGATGAAGAAGGTCCAGCAAGGGAAGAAATGCCGAGACAACAGCATGTCAAGATCATGGTCCAAAGTGGACTTCTCACATTCCTTTGCCGAACCGCCGGCTTTCCTGTCCACCGTTCAGACAACCAACAACGAGATCGGCCTTCCAAGTGGGACTTCGCAACCGTGGTTCACAGTCGCAACCAACTCTGTTCACAATGCGGATGCTTGGGTTTCTCTGGAGCTCTCCGAAACCGGCCAGGTTTCTGTGCCCCTCGTCAAAACCGATGAGGTCATCGGCTGGGTGGCAATGCAAAAAGGCACGGACACTTTCCAAGATGCACAAGGAGCTTCGGTAACGTGCGCTGCTGCTGTTTCGGACAGATCCATCACCCACAAGACGAAATCCCTGTCTTTCGGAGCTGACTTAGGGCCCGCGCCACTGGTGGTTGCGAGTCAGTCGACTAGGTGGGGCGGCGATGGTAGCTGGGCCAAGATCGTCGGAACCACATCGGCATCAGTCCAACTCAAGGTACAAGAAGACCAAACCTGCAACGATGAGACAGGCCACACGAGAGAGGTCATTTCCGTTGCTGCATTTTCCAGCATCTGCACTTTGTGAACACATATTCACAGCCAGTCAGTCAGATAGTCGTTATGTTTATCGCTTCCGCCTACACCACGATAACCGGCAGAGGTGCTGCCTTTCAGCGCAAGCACTGTCCAGACTGCTTTGTAAAGCCCGGGCCGATGGCCTTGCGATTCGAGACACGCAGGCTGAAGGCCAAGCAGTCAGGTGCCGGCTTTGTCGGCTCTCTCACGTCATCTTCAATGGCACAGTTTCAGTTGGCGCAGGGACACTTGAGAGAGCCGCCCGTTTGCAAGGCGTCATGTTTGAAAGTAGTTTTACCGCATGCGGCGGATGCGCGCCGCGCAGATGAGTACAGACAAAAACAGTCGACACTAATCTGGAAGCCGCTTTTGAGCATCCGGCCGCACGTAGGCCCTGGGCTAGCAGGCATTGTGATTTGAGCATGCAGCTCAGAGTGCAAGTGACATCGTGTTGTTTGTTTCCCTTCCTCTCTTTTTTTTTGACGCCTGCTTCCTGGAGGCTGCCGCATTTTGAAAGTCATTTGAAGTCATAGCCAGCACCGTGCTCCGAATTTTGGGCCAACAGGCTAGAGGCCGGAGCCGAGAAATCCGCTTTAGCCCGAGAAGTCCTTGTTAGAAGTCTAAGCCTAAAACAATCATCGCCGCTCTCTGTGTGTGTTGGGGTTGAAGCGCTGTGAGTCTGGCGACGCAACTTCCTGCAAAGTCCGACAAGTGGACCAGCTTTTCAGCATAGACTTCTGGACCCTGTCCTGTTACACAGCTCTGGTCGCCGGAGGTGGTGCCGAACGAAGAACCGTTGAAGTATCGGTATCTATTGGGGTTACAGGCCGTCGGTTGCTCGTTTGCTGCAAGACCTCGGGACTGACGAGTAGGAGCTGGTCCTTATGGAACCGACCAACACGACTGAGTTAGAGCAATGCCTCTTCCTCTCACCTTCCTGATTTACAAGCATGGCGCCTAGAGCATCGGTCTTGGTTGTGTCATGGCATGCTTCCAGTATCATCGGGAAGGAGGTGTAATCTGAACCAGCTTTCACGCAGACAGCTTAAACAAAAAGGCAGGAACTCATCCGCTGTGCCCGCTGTGAGGGCGAACACTCTGACACTAAACCCTGACGTGTTTTTTATTGCGGCTGCCGTCAGGCCCGCACGTGCCCTCCCAGGCGGTGCAGGGCCCGAAGCTCAGGGGCTCATAGTATGGCTCATAGGGGGTTTAATTCGGGAATCTGAAGCACATACACAGGCGTATGTGTGTGTGTATGTACGTACGTACGTACGTACGTACGTATGTATGTATGTATGTATGTATGTATATTATATATATATATATGTAATTTTAATCGCG